TGGCCCATTTAACCACACGGGGGGGGGATATTCCCCTCCGGGGGGGGGGGGGGTTTTGGCCCCCCCCCAACCCATTTTTTTGGCCCCCCTTTTTTTTGGGTTCCCCCAGAAAAAAAAACAAGGGAAAAAAAAAGGGGGTAATACCCGGGTTCCGGGGCCCCGAAAGTGTTGGCCTTTTTTTAAAAGGTGGCCCCCAGGGGGGGAAACCCCACCCCGGAGGGCAACCCCGGGGGGGGGGGGGGGGGGGGGGCGTACTCTTATGTTTCGCATGCTTGGCGGTTAGACCGTTGACCACGCGTCCTCGAGAGGACGGAGCATTGTTCCCACAGGATCGATCACCGATGGCCAATCGTTCGTTCCTATTTTGCCAAAGGTGGCTCAAAAATGCCTTCCCTAGTCTGTCTATCCCATCGATGTATGTCACGTATGGGGAGGGGGTCCAAACTCAGAAGATGTTCGCATGCATCCAAGCAAACGTGGTTCCAAGGGCGCAGGGCTCAAGAAACAAAGAAGGGAGGGCGGTGAGCCACCCGAACATCCCCCCAGAGAGGAACTTAGTGTATAGAGCCCAGTGACGACATCCCATCTCCTTCCTTTTGTTTTCATTTGGGTCAATATGACAACTAACCGCTAACTTACTATTGTTCGACGCCGCAGCCCCTTCACTGACTATTCTTCGCGATTCGTGCCATGCTTCTCGCGTTCGTACACACACACAGGACCACATCGGTACAGCCGGCCTGGTCTACGAGCACTTCGCGGCGGACAACCCTACGATCATAACCTCTAAGCGCATCCGGGCCAAGATTAAGGCCAGGGACGACCGCGGAGACCCCACCAGCATCCACGGCAACAACCGGGGTGTCCCTATCCCACAGAAGCTGGACGAGGCTGACTACAGGGAGCTGCAAGTGGGAGGGCTGCGGTTCGAGGTGCGAAAACTACACGCTCACGAGAGGGGAGACTTGGTCGTGTTCCTCGACAAGAACCTTCCTGAGAACGCAGCTGAAGGTACGTACGCGTGTTTTCGACTGCGTACGGTGTTGGAATGTATGCATCGTACAGTAGTATCTGAACGTTTTACCTGTCAGAGTTTTGGGATCATCCTCTTCAACATCGCGTGCTGATTACTTGTTGTTGTAATCGCCAACACCCAACCAAGAAATGACAGGCAACGATTGCGCGCCCTCTTTTAACGATCTGGTTGGCAATAATGCTTACTTTGGAGACCATCCGAGTTAAAATAATGTGTACGCCTCACCCCGAAGTACGTGGCCGGGGAGGCGGGGGGCGTGGAACCGCGGGACATTCTGCGTTATTATTTTCGTTCTTTTTGGTTTATCTTTCAGCTCCAGTTGGTCCCTCTATCTATGCATCCCCGAACACATAGTTTTGACAGCCACCTTCTGCCCCAAATCCCGTCGGCAATGTTATATGCGCAGGTATCGACACGAGCGTTTTCTTTGTAGTCGATGTCATCTTCCCAGGCTGGTGAGCGCTATAGAGCATAGTAGGTAGTGCGTAAAGGGGGTGCGTGGGGCGGTGGGGCGAGAGTTCCGGTTGTTCCCCCCTCAAGTTCAGTCGTTGAATCGACCGGTGGCATTGTGTCTGCTGGACCCCCCACCGGGGGACCCTGCCAACGAACCGTGTCATCCAGCCATCCTCACCCCTTCGCCGGAGGTCCCATATGCGTGTATGAAGTCTGTGTGTGCCAACGTTGTGGGTAGTATCAGATCATCAGCGATATACACAATACAGTACACACCCTGCGTTCACATAGGGCATTGACTTGTGATGCAGCTCTTCTTCTTCTCTTCGCCGTGTCTGGGGAGTTGTCAGATCTGGTGCGCATGTGAATGTTTGTTTGTACTGTATGCCAATCGCAGCATATGTCCCTCTCAATTCGTGTGTGCATGTCTGTGTTCATCCATGTTATTTTGCGTTGCAGGGTTCCTTTTTTCTTGGTGGCCTTGAGCTCGGAGATCGGTGGCTACTACGACGCGATGGACGAGATTTTGAGTGAGCGAGTGGTGTCATGAGCTTAAAATGAAGCTAAATAGGGGATAGACGATGTAGAAGCTCCCCTCGGTAGAAGACTGCAAAAAAAGAAGGAAAGTTGCCTGTGGCACATGCATGTCACGTTGTGAGGTTCGGCGCAACCACCCTCGAACCTCACGACCGCAACACAATGGCATTTACGGCAGTATGTAGCACAACGAGTACGTACAGTTGTCTAGACGAAATTCGTGCTTCGTCACCTCTCGATTAAACAACGACAACCTCGTACCCTCGGGTCCCGTTGGTCTGTCTCCTCACCTCCCTCTCGATCGTTGATTTTGCGCACCCCTGCACTCGTCTTGGAAGGAACGATTGGTCATCGTTAATCAGTCCTCCTGTGGGAACAACGCTCCGTCCTCCTCTCGAGGACGCGCGGTCAATGTGGTCCAACCGCTAGGGTACGTAAAACATGAGTACACACCTACTACCCCCCCCCCCCCCCCCACTCCTCTT